CATTTTACACAGTAAATAGATTTGGCCATATTTCTCCATTGCGGCCCCCACAAAACCCACTCTCCACTCATTTTTCATTCTCCACGTCTTAGTCACAGGCAGATGGAGACATCTGACACTAACTAGTTTCTCAGATCAGTACAGTACCAAAAAAGCAGAGTGTATGTGCATGGAGGACGCTGAGTCAATAAACACAATTGGAATAAACGAAGAAAAGATGTGTTTAATGGTGAACAAGGGAGATGTGTTTGTTTGGGATACTGAGCTGTTGGTGAAGAGTGCATCTATGATGTTGATTCATCGCAGGAAAAGGAAATGTATCGACAGACGTGCATTTGAATGATTCATACGCTGTTTATTTTCCAACATCTACAGTGGTAAACAGCCATTCAGAGGTTCGCGGGAATGAGACACGTCCTTTTGGCTTTTGTAGTTTGACACGAGATATAATAAGCAGGATGAGAGTGTCTGAAAGAGGGAGTGAAAACGAGCTCTCTGCACACTTTGCTCGTTGCATTATCATTTCATGCACCTGACACTTTTTTCCCCCTAAGCTTTTTCTTGAAGGAAACCCAGGTTGTGATCTTACCATTGCACTCACTTTAATTTTCTCATCCTCTCTCTTTCTCTTTTTATTTCTTCCTCATACCTAATAATGAGACCTTTAGCTGTACACATTGGGTCACACCTGTTTTCTATCCCTTTACCGCCAGGCAGAGTGCGGCATGCTCCAGCTGTTGACAACATCTGTACTCGGGACTAAGTGTTAGCAAACTCTCACACACCTCGCAGCATGCTGTGGTGGCAGGATTCACACCTGATCCTCTTCAGGAAAGATGCTGCAAAAGTTTCTCATTTAAAACACCATAGAAGAGTGAACCGGGATTACCATCCAACCTGACATTTTCCTCTAATCCCACCCGCACCTTTGGATAAGCTAAATCTAATATTCTAATAGCTGCGCAATAGCTCCTGTAATCCAACGTGGCCTCACAATGCCTCATTTCCCATTGTAGTTAGAGCTTCGAACAGGACTCAACAACAAGGTTCTGGAATACCGAGGACTCTATAGGAACCCACATGCCAGAATAAGCCGTAGATTAAAGGCAACAGCAGTGCCACGCTCAGCAGAATGGGAAGTGGACGGGACAGTGGGTTGCACAGATAGATTGTGTCTCATTTGCACTTAGGAGCTCATGAATAATTAAAATGCCAGTGATGGGCTTGTCTGGACTCCCGGCGCAATGATTGATGGAATGAAAAGAGCCTTTGTCTGCTTGCTCCTGATGGAGAGAGTGAGCGAGCGAGCGAGTGAGAGATCATGAAAGAGAGGGGAGAGTCTTGAAGAAAAATCGACTGAATTAGCACGATACAGCCCTCCGACGCTTAATGAAGGCTAAAGCACAGGCTCTTAAAATGGCATTCGTTTACAGTTCTAGGCTATGAAAACTCAAATTGTGTGTTTAATTAAAAGACGTAGATCTTTTTTTATGTAATGTGAGCATAGCTATGAGGAATATCAAACTAGCTGGAAAAGAGTAAAGCACTTTAATATACTCTAATACACATCAGAGATGGTATAACCCAAGCGTGCTTAATTATGCTTTCAAATGTATGCTTTCAAATCAAGGTATATAAACTTTATGGCTAATTCATTTCTTTAACCTATTATTGAAATGACATCAATGACATCAACCTAAATTCTTTACCTTAATCTTTAAAGGTTTCTTGTTTGCTAGTAAGTGAGTTAATGATATGCTAACCGCTGTGCGTACATACTGAAATTAGCCGTGTTTGCTAATAAGGGAGTTAATGATATGCTAACCGCTGTGCGTACATACTGAAATTAGCCGTGTTTGCTAATAAGGGAGTTAATGATATGCTAAACGCTGTGCGTACATACTGAAATAAGCCGTGTTTGCTAATAAGGGAGTTAATGATATGCTAACCGCTGTGCGTACATACTGAAATTAGCCGTGTTTGCTAGTAAGTGAGTTAATGATATGCTAACCGCTGTGCGTACAAACTGAAATTAGCCGTGTTTGCTAATAAGTGAGTTAATGATATGCTAAACGCTGTGCGTACATACTGAAATAAGCCGTGTTTGCTAATAAGGGAGTTAATGATATGCTAACCGCTGTGCGTACATACTGAAATTAGCCGTGTTTGCTAATAAGTGAGTTAATGATATGCTAACCGCTGTGCGTACATACTGAAATTAGCCGTGTTTGCTAATAAGTGAGTTAATGATATGCTAACCGCTGTGCGTACATACTGAAATTAGCCGTGTTTGCTAATAAGTGAGTTAATGATATGCTAACCGCTGTGCGTACATACTGAAATTAGCCGTGTTTGCTAATAAGGGAGTTAATGATATGCTAAACGCTGTGTGTACATACTGAAATAAGCCGTGTTTGCTAATAAGGGAGTTAATGATATGCTACCGCTATGCGTACATACTGAAATGCGCGGTTTTGCTAATAAGTGAGTTAATGATATGCTAACCGCTGTGCGTACAAACTGAAATTAGCCGTGTTTGCTAATAAGTGAGTTAATGATATGCTAAACGCTGTGCGTACATACTGAAATAAGCCGTGTTTGCTAATAAGTGAGTTAATGATATGCTAACCGCTTGTAGTACATACTGAAATTAACCGTGTTTGCTAATAAGTGAGTTAATGATATGCTTACGCGTGATACATACCCTGAAATTAGCCGTGTTTGCTAATAAGTGAGTTAATGATATGCTAACCGTCTAACGTACAAACTGAAATTAGCCGTGTTTGCTAATAAGTGAGTTAATGATATGCTAACCGCTGTGCGTACATACTGAAATTAGCCGTGTTTGCTAATAAGTAAGTTAATGATATGCTAACCGCGCTGCGTACATACTGAAATTAGCCGTGTTTTGCTAATAAGTGAGTTAATGATATGCTAACCGCGCAGTAGTACATACTGAAATTAGCCGTGTTTGCTAATAAGTGAGTTAATGATATGCTAACCGCTGTGCGTACATACTGAAATTAGCCGTGTTTGCTAATAAGTGAGTTAATGATATGCTAACCGCTGTGCGTACATACTGAAATTAGCCGTGTTTGCTAATAAGTGAGTTAATGATATGCTACCACGGTAACGTACATACTGAAATTAGCCGTGTTTGCTAATAAGGGAGTTAATGATATGCTAACCGCTGTGCGTACATACTGAAATTAGCCGTGTTTGCTAATAAGGGAGTTAATGATATGCTAACCGCTGTGCGTACATACTGAAATTAGCCGTGTTTGCTAATAAGTGAGTTAATGATATGCTAACCGCTGTGCGTACATACTGAAATTAGCCGTGTTTGCTAGTACTTTTCTGATGTTTGTTTTTTTTAGTTTGTTTCCAAATTGAGTTATTTATTCCTAATGTTCCTTCTTAGTACTTTGAGGACAATTTCCATTTGCAAGATCTCATTGCTCTAGGGCACATTGTATGTGGCACATTGAATTATTTACTTGCCAATTGTATGCTTGTTCATCAATAGCCAACAGTTATTCCTTTTCATTAATACAGCATTCACATGAAAATTCAGTGTGTCTGCTTTCATTGATATCTATGTATTCCTGTAAATTTCTAGACGTGAATGAATGAATTAACACAATATTGCATGGTATTGTGATACTACCTGGAATCGAGATACTTCAGCTGGTATAGTATCGTAAGCAATGTGTATGGTATTGTCACAACTCTATTATATAGTAACTGTATACACTCTAGCAAGAAAATACAACCAACAAATTGGCTATGTGGGCCATTCGCGCTCATGACAAGTAAGTATAATCTATAGGCCTTTTAAAGTTTTAAGTCAGTCAGTTTTAAGTTTTAAATCAGGTCATAGTATTATTAATAACTCTCTAGTGAAATGAGTTCGTTTTACTGATGACTGTCATCCCGAGAGCAGGGGCACAACTCAAAAACAAATGTCTTGCTTCAAGTATGACTGAGCTCCCAGCCATTCCACATCAACACAAATCTAATTGTGTACACACACACACACACACACACAAGAGCGAATCAATCATCCCACACACTCAGAGCGGAGCGATGGTTGTTTTGATGATTTATCATTAGAAGAAGGAAAGCAGGCAGCAGCTGTAAGCATTCATTTTATAAATGAACAAACTCTGATTGTCAATTGTGTCTATAAGGTCTACGTCGTTAGGTTATCCGTTCGGAGAAAATAGCATCGAGATCAAAATGTGTGCGCGGATGGTGTTTGGTTTATTTACCTTTGCAGGAGATTGATGAGCCATGGTGAAGGTTTAATGATGGTGGCCTGTGCCATCAGGTCATTCATCTCATTAGTCAAGTGGACGACATTTTCATTAATGTACGTCATTTGTTTGCGCTCATGTTAGCTCCTTGTGGATTGTGTTTGACGTTAATTATAACTATCACGTCACACCTTCATCACATGCACAAACACTCCTGAGTGAATTGTCAACACTTGCTGTGTGTATATGTGTGTTTGATTTTGTGAATTTTCCTGTCTCACACCTGGCATCAACATGCGTACTGGGTGATCCGATCACAAGTGGACACCTGAGATGCATAGACATTCACACCTGGCTTTAAACTTAAATGCATTTACAGTGACCACTTGTGATCGGATTTCATACATCGTTTACGCTGGAGAAAGGATGATCACGCACATGTATTACGTCAGTCTTCTGTTGCAGAAGCAGAAATCCATCCATGTATCCATCCATTTTCTGTATCGCTTATCTTACACAAGGTGGTGGGGAACTTGGAACCTGTCCCAGGGGACTCAGTGCATGAGGTGGGGACACCTTGGACAGGGTGCCACCCATCACAGGGCACACACACATCCACATACTACGGACAATTTGGGAAGGCCAATGAGCCTACAGTGCATGTCTTTGGACTGGTGGAGGAAATCGGAGTACTCGGAGGAAACCCCTTAAGCACAGGGAGAACATGAAAACTCCATGCACACAGGGCAGAGGCGAGATTTGAACCCCCAACCCTGGACGTGCGAGACAAATGTGAAATCCACTAAGCCACCATGCCCCCCAACAGAGGCAGAACTATCCGCAAATCGTATCTCACCTACCTGTAGGGACTGTTTCAAACATTTTAATCATGTGGTCTCCTAACGAAAGATGAGATGACGAATGAAGAATTGAAAAGCAGCTGATTTCGTCTTTGCTGTTATAGCATCATTTTTCTCTATTAGTCTACCATTCAGTGCGATTTCCAAACAGTCTCGCAATGATTACATATTCTCCAGCTAATGCAATGACGCATTCTAGCTCCTTTGATGCTGTCGATGTGGTTCACACTAAAAATATAATGTGGACATCCATCCACTGCTTATCCTTTTCAGGGTCACAGGGAACCTGGAGCCTATCCCAGGAAGCATAAGGCGGGGTACACCCTGGACAGGGTACCAATCCATCACAGGGCACAATCACATACACAGACCCATTCCATACAGTACATGCCAATCAGGGTATGTCTTTTGTCTTGTGGCACACACAGGGCCACAGTGGGAATTGAACCCCCAACCCTGGAGGTGTGAGGCGAACATGCTAACCACTAAGCCACCTTTTTGAGACACATGGCTATACCTTGTCAAGACCAGCAAGATAAAGTAAAGTCAACTTTACAAGGTGTAAAAAGTGCTTTTGTAAAAAAATGTATTTATTTATTTATTTTTACCCACAAAACTAAATCTGTAAAACAATTTCTCTATGGTTATTGAGGTGTCCAAAATTCTTACTATATGTTCTTAGTTATATACATACAATCGATATATTACATATGTATAATTCAACATTCTTGTCACACAAACAAACTTGTCATATGGCTATATATGTTACAGCCATTTTGCCTTTTTTTGTGGAGTTGGAACTTGGGCCGTTTTGATGCGTTTGTTTGGGATTGCGTTGTGTTTATGTGAGGTTTGGTGGTGCATTTGCTCCTGGTTCATGGATCACGTGTGGTGGGAGGCGCATATAACGTGGGTTAACCTTCCAACAGGTGGATGGAAATGGAGAGCTGGGAAGCACAACGTTTTTTGACCACACTCCAGCACGCCAATTCACAATACGCCTATTTTCGTTAAGTTCAATAGTAAGGTTTCATTTCAACAAGTTTTTCATTTATTATGTGTGTCTGTCAAGAAAATAAAGGTCATTTTATCTACGGCATGCGAGGAAGTGCGTTAATCCAATCCTGGTTCCCCTGTTTCCCCCGCATCGAACAACTCGAATAAATCCCAGACACAGGTTACAATTTGTAAATTTGTCTTTTCTTTTTTTTTATTGTCTTTTCAAGCCTGCTCTCGTACAACATGGACGGATTTTTTTTTTATGCAAATGAATGAAAAAGGTTTAAATGCTAACCCCATCCCTAGCCCCAACCCTAACAGCTGGAACTTTTAATACAAAACAAGTTTTTTTTTTCTTTTTTTTCTTCTTTTTCTTTTTTTTCTTTTTTTTTTCTAATTTGCAAGCCTGAGACTGCACTCTTAGAAAAAAAAGAGTTTGTTTAGATAGTTCAATGGTTTTGTTGTTCATCTCCCTCAAAATACTTTTTAAATATTGCCACCCCCCTCAAAAATTAGTTTGGTCTGCTTCATTACGCATCCTTGAAACACACACCCTTCACAGAGACAGAGATTGACTTCCATGGATGCAAAAGGGAAGTGAAGAAAGGATGAGGTGGAGCTGAAAAGTTATGCGAAAAAAAACCAAAACAAAAACAAAAACCAAAAAGTTTAGAACATTAGATGCAGATGCTGTGAAATGTTTTAAATGAACAGATTTTGCCTTTGGCGTGAAGGCAAGGTGCAGTTCTGCAGGCGCTGACGGCTCTAGCGTTAAAGATTATTCTAGCATTACAGTTCATTCTCTCTCACTCTTTCTCTCTCTCTCGCTCTCTCTCTCTCATACACACAAACTCTCTTTCTCGTACACATACAGTAGACATGCTCTTTCAAATATACCCTTTCTCAAGCACACACTCATATATACACCCTCCTCTTCTCCTTCCTAAAGCTCTGCTGAACTGCTCCCAAAAGAAACCCTGAATTATGCAGACATGATCATAGGCACGTTTAATGTCCCATGATGATAGCGTGCCACTCAGATGTGGATTCAGATGTGTTCAAAGATAAAGTTTCAGTCCTGATTCAGGAGTTGTACAGCTGAGTGCTGCAGCTCTCCTACACTGCACCCAGATGATGCCCACTTACTATCTAACTAATTTTATATTCTTTGTCACACATGTTTGCCTGTTTTACAAATATGACTTGATATCTGTTCAGTGCTACTTCAAATAAATACGTTTAAATAGCATTTATGCATTATTCTGTGTTGTATTATATTTTTATGCTAGTAAGTGAAAAATTGGTCTAACCATCAGTGAGCCGGTGTGTTATGATGGGGCGTGTTGTGGGCCGGGTGTGCTAGTCCAGAAAGTCCAGTCCACTTTTTGTGTGGGTGACTTTTTTTTTTTTTTGCAAATGCTTACAAATCTAGAATAAAGAAGTAATGTTTACTTGAACCGATTGTATACTAATGTAGAGAAATGGTCTTTGAACTCAATTTGCTTATGCATTTATGGAACTTTAAACTTATTTTATGGATGGATGCTTTTGAATATCTCTTGGTTTTTTTTTTCTTCAGCTTTAAGGCCTAAGGTTATTGTATAATGAAAAGTGTTGAAAGATAGTAAAAGTAAAGTTTTCTTGGGTTTCCCACATAGTGTATCTCAGTCAGGTGCATGAGCAAGTTTGTTAAGTAGTCATGTTTGGTTCTACCAATTTAGTCTTTATGAACACTGATGTCGATGCAGGTACGAGTTGGAGATCTACTTCTTATGGGAGCCATTAAGAAACAATGGTGATAAATGATTAGTGAAATTGGATTATACATGGAGATGATGTGTACTTTTATATTTTTATAGTTCTCCGATTTACATAACATGACTTATTTAAGATTTCTTGCATTAAATAAACGAGTTAAACTTGTTTTATTTGAGCAATAGTTAGACATTTAACCTAAAAAGTGCTAGTTAAATTTACTTACATGCTTTATTAGAAATATTATCACTGCTATGTCAACCCTACTTATAATATGCTTAGTTAAAATGGCTAAGACGTGATGTGTGGACATTGCTACATCTTTCTTGAATAAATCTCACTGGGATATTTATTTGTTCAGTATGACACCAATATTTTTTAGATTTTCGTGGCAGCAGCCCTATGTGAGACCTTGTTATGTCCGAACGGTGCTGACGACAGCTTGCCTAAGTGAAAGTGTCCTCTGACAGTGACATCATCACACCAGTCATGCCGTGGTGGAGAACAGCGGTGATGTAAGCAGGGCCGAAGGGAGCGATGACCATCGCAGTAATTTGGGAGATGATGACAGAATGAGAGCACTGGATAAAGCCAGCGCAGTGAGAGCTCTATCACAGTCTGAGTTCCGCCAGTTTTAAAGAAACTGATTAGTCTGGAACCATTAGGTCACACAAATTGATTTATTTGTGTATCTAGAACTAATTAGCCTGAGACACTCAAATAAAGTAAGATAGAGCCACTCAAAGGACCCAGCAGCAATTGATCGTCCTAATGCTGGTATAAGTCTCTCTAATTCAGTTTGGAAGAAATAACTGGATACATTTGAGCTATTTTTGTAGAGCCATGCATGCATTTACAGACTTTTTTTATTTTTTAAATTTGTATCAGATTAATAATCATTGTGCCGTACCTATAATAATATTCAACCTAAATGTTGTATACTATGTTGTGTAGATGCCTAAAAATAACACCTGCATGTCTGTGTGCTATATATATATATATATATATATATATATATATATATATATATATATATATATATATATACACACACACACACACACACACACACACACACACAAAAGCACACCACCATGCAGTCAGGTGATGCCAATCAAGCCCTTAGCTCACTCTTGTTTCAACCAGAAAGGAGATGAGGTGGAAATATTCAAGGAAATTATATTTAAACATTTAAAGAAATTCCCTATCATTTTTTCACTCTAATCTCTATCTATTTCATCTGCTACATATATATGACAATAATTTCGACATGTTTCTGTGTATTGAGAACAGAAACAGACAGAAAGTCTGCTTACTCACTTGCACACTTAGACTGGAAGTTGACAAATTTGTCAGTGAATTAAATTCTATAGGATGTATTCAGAGTCGAGTTAAGCATAGTGTACACATCGATATTCAGATCTCAGACATCGTGTGCTACTTGTGACACGTACACAGCGATTATGTACACAGGGTTGGTTAGGTCATGGTTAGGAGTGATTCTGACCTTGAACTGTAGTTGTTGTTTTTTTTGTTTGTTTGTTTCTCACAGTAGGAACTCAAAGTATAGCCAGCTTGACCATTAAACCTTGGACTTATTTATTTATATATATATAATAAAAAAAGAATGGCACAAATTAATGCAAACATGGGCACAAGTTAATATTCCAAGCACACATGACCTCAAATTTGTATCTTTAATGTGTGTCTGGTTTACTGTGTAAGCACATAAAGTGAAAAATAAAAGAATTCACAACAGCAGATGCAGTGCTTTTCACACCTCCCTGTGATTCACACTTGCAAAATATTCCTAGTTCACCGTGAAGAAAATAGGATACGCTGTATCAAATGCTGTTTTATACACTTATATACAACAGATGTGCAAGAAGCCATTGTGTGATCAACGTGATTATCATAACTAGGATCCTTTCCACGTCCTGTTCATAACAGCTGGCTTTGATGTATTCACAAAATATTGCACTGCTATTGATGACAATACACTATGGATGAATGAATGGATAGATAGATAGATAGATAGATAGATAGATAGATAGATAGATAGATAGATAGATAGATAGATAGATAGATAGATAGATAGATAGATAGATAGATAGATAGATAGAGTGTTTGGCAGCAAAGGTTACAAATCTCGCTTTATTTGTCTGGAATTTCTATCTATTTCTTAGGCTTAACTCTTTTTATT